TGGCAGCCGCTCGCCTGCCGCCGGGCTGCCGCCAGGGCTGCGCGCGTGCGCGAGCCGGCCGGGCTTCTTCGGGGAGGCGCGGGCCTCGGGCATGGGGCCGCAGCGCTGCCTCCCGCACGCCCTCGCTGGCGCGCCTCGCGCCCGGCTGCAGCGGCGCCGAGGGCGTTGCTCTTTCGGCTCCTGGTGGCCGAGGGCCGCCGCGCCGGCGAACAGCATGTTGAGCCCGCAGCCCCGCTCGCCCCTCCCTCGCGCGCCCGCCGCGGTGCCACGTGCATCTGGGGTCGCAGGGCACGCCGAGGAAGGGTCCGGGAGCGGGGGGCCTACGGACATAGCCTGAGCCAAAATCGCTACGGAGGGCAGGACGAGCGAGGAGGAGGAGGAGGAGGAGGAGGAGGAGGAGGAGGAGGAGGAGGAGGAGAGGAGGAGGAGCGAGGGAGGAGCGAGGAGGAGCAGGGGAGGAGGAGGGGAGGAGGAGGAGGAGGAGGAGGAGGGGCGGAGGAGTAGGAGGAGGAGGAGGAGGAGGAGGAGCGAGCAGGGGGAGCGAGGAGCGAAGCAGGGGGGCGGGAGCGAGAGGGGCGAGGAGCGAGAGGAGGAGGAGGAGGAGGCGGAGGAGCGAGGAGGAGGGGCGATGAGCGAGGAGGAGCGAGGAGGAGGATGGAGGAGGAGCGGAGGAGGGAGGAGGAGGAGGAGGAGGAGGAGGAGGAGGAGCGAGGAGCGAGGAGCGAGCATACCGGCAGCTTGGACAGAAGGAGACGGGCCCCGCGGGAAATTGGTCCTGGATCCCAGGGCGTCTTTCCGAGACCAGCTTCTCATCTGGAGGAGCAGAGCAGCCCTTTGAGAGCCGTGGGGCCCGCGGACCGGCCGTGCGCCGATCGATCGGGCAAGGCAGAGGGGGCGGGCCCGCCCAGAATCCTCATGAGGCCTTCGCCGGCCTTCCGACAAGGTGTCCGAGCCTTCCTCTTAAGTCGGGCCCGTCCCCCTGCAGGAAGAATATCCAGACATAGTCCAACCATCGTACGGGGACGATTTTTCAATTGTTCTTGGACCAGTGTGGACTACTTTGGACTGCTTTATCTCTTTCGCCCGAGGTCCGCCTGTAGGAGGACGTGCCCGACCTATAAGCCTCCTCCGAAGCCGCACGGTGGGCTCCTCACGAGGCTGGAGGGCTGCCGGGAGGCCCCGCCCGCCCTCGAAAGATTGCGTGCCCCCCCCGCTCGCCTCAAGTCGGGCATATCCCTCTACAGGAGGAGTATCTTAAAATAGTCACAGAAAAAAAACACTCACGGGACGGTGCTTCGACTATTTTTTCGGCTGTTCGGATGAATTTGCTGCTGTTCTACATATGTCGCCCAAAAGCCGCCTGTAGGAGGACATGCCCGACCTAATTCTCGCCTCCCCCCTCGGCGCGCCGCTCTCCAAGGCCCGGCTTTCTCCAGACCCATTCTCTGGGTTTCTCAACAAGCGTGGGGGGTACCCCCCCCATGGGTACCTTGCCTCGTCGTCGCGCCGCGACGGGGTCGGTCCATCCTTGGCCGCTTTCGCTGGCCGCGCCCCGCTCGCAGAGTGTCGGCATGTCCCCCCAAGGCCCTTGCATCCTGATCGAGCGTCCTCTTGATATTTGAAGGAGGAAAAAACGGCATAGACATAAACTTTTGGCGCTCCGCGCGGATTTCTTGGATCTGCGCTGGGCCCCCCTGGCGGCGCCTCCGGCGCCGCCCCTTGCGCGCTTCGCGCGCCAGGGAGGGGGGCCTAGCGCAGATCCAAGAAATCCGCGCGGAGCGCCGAAAAGTCTGAGTTTGTGCCGTTGTCTCTTCTTCTAGATACGGGTCGACTGTAACGTGCTCTCGGGGACCTCCACGCGCAGGGTACGGAGCGCGGCCTGAAGCTTCTGGACAGCGCGTCGCACCGCCGGTCCTGGCCCACCGCGCCTCGGGCGCGGCTCGCCGCCCGCGTCACCAGACATTGCGACGTCTGGATGTTTTCAGGGCGGTGTCGCCGGAAGTCCCGACCCTTTCCCCGGGGCTTCCAGTGAGGAGGATGAGGAGGAGGAGGAGGAGGAAGAGGGAAGAGGGAGGAGGTGAAGAGGAGGAGGAGGAGGAGGAGGAGGAAAAAGGAGGAGGAGGAGGAGGAGGAGGAGGTATGGGTACCTCTTCCTCCTCTGCAGCTCCGTCAACTTCGCAAGGTACTGCCGTACCGCGAGCGCCCGCAAGGTATCGTCGTCCTGAGTCGTTTTGGACGGTCCCGGGGCCGGGCGGGGGCCCGCAGCGGCCGAGGCTAGCGAGACACCTCCGTCTCGAATTCTTTGCGATACGATCATGTCTGGGGTCGCACCGCCGGTTCTGGCCCACCGCGCCTCGGCGCGGCACGCCATCCGCCCGCAGGGCACAGCGTGCCGCCGGGGCCGCCGCGGCGACGCGCTAAGCAAAAGTTCCCGAACGTCTGTCGGCCCGGTCTGTCCTTTCCTTTCGTCCTCCCTCCCTCTCCCCTTCCTTCTCGCTCCTCGGCTCCTCGCTCTCTTGCTTGTGTGTTGTCCCTTGCCTGCCCCGCTTTTCTTTGTCGGCCCGTCCCTTGGTCCGTATAAGAGTCGCGGTGGCGCGCACTGCCACTTAGGCGAGAGAAAAAGTTCCCGAACGTAGGGGTGTGTGTGTGTGTGCGTGGATATCACGGCCGGGGCCGTTAAATCTCCCAGATGTCATGGCTCCCTCTTGTTCTTCCAAGGCGTTCCCGAACGTAGGTGTGTGTATGTGGATATCACGGCCGGGGCCGTTAAATCTCCCAGATGTCGTGGCTCTCTCTTGTTCTTCCAAGGCGTTCCATGGCCGCTCCTCGTCCGCGCACGCGCCTCGGGCCATCATGCGCGAGCCCCCCCTTCTTGATTCCCCTCTTTTCTAGGCCTCCAAGATTGGGTCGGAGTAGATGGGGTCGGAGGATCGCGCCGCATCACCGATGCATCGACGATGCGGCTCGATGCAGAGCCCGACTTTCTCCACGCCGACGTCGCCGATGCGTCACCGACGTCGGCGCTGCATCGCCGATGCATCGCCGATGCATTGGCGATGCATTGGCGACGCGGCGCGATCCGCCGACCCCATCTACTCGGACCCCATCTAGGAGGCCTCTATCTCAAGCGCACCCGAGAGGAGGAGGGAGGAGCAGGAGGCAGGAGCAGGAGCAGAAGGAGGATTCGGAGGAAGGCCTGGTGGAGCTGGAGGACCCCGATCGCCAGACGCACGCCGAGCTGTCCGGGCGTTGCCCGTGCCACGGCCGGGCGCCAACGCTCCCAGGCGTGAGCGTACAAACTCGCTCACGGCAGCGAAGGCGCGAGCCCAAACGCCCGGCCGCGTGCAGGAGGAGGGCGAGTCCCGCGACACGCGTCGGCTTCGTCGGAAAAAAAGAAAACATTCAGATTCACCACCCCAGAGTGGAGGAGGAGGAGGAGGAGGAGGCGGAGGAGGAGGAGGAGGCGGAGGAGGAGGACGAGCAGGAGGAGGCGGTGGAGGAGGAGGAGCAAGACGAGGCGGAGACGGACGACGTCGCCGAGCTCATCGTGACGGTCCTGGCACACGAGAGGGGGGGGCGCCTAGCAACCCGCCGCCTGGCGACGGTGGTGCAGCTCGCTCGTGCTCTGCGACGGTGGAGAGCGAGCCCCCCGCCACAGCGAGACCCCAGCGGCACGGGAATGCCGCGGAGTCTCAACAGCCCGAGGAGAAGCACACGCTCGCTCCCGGCACGGCCGCGCGCCGTGACGGTCTCGAGGCCAGGCCAGTGCCGACTGGACGCGAATCGCACCTTGAGCCTCTACGATGAGGCCGCTGACCGCTGGGCCTTTCAGACAGGTGCGGGGGGCCATTCATGTCGAGGCGGCCCGTCTGGAGCTCAGTTACTTCCCATGCGAAGCAGTCTTCCGGCACTGCGCTCGCACAGGCCAGCTCCGATCTCCCGCGCCCGGACCCGGTGGCCAGTGACCAGGGGCTCCAGTTGTTGTGCGACCCTGCTGCCGAGGAAGGGCAGCCCATGGCCGCCGCCCAGTTCCAGCAGGCTTTCACAGAAACGCCCACCTTTGACAAGATGCACTGCCTCATGGCCACCAGGAGCCTCGAAATCGTCTACCAGTGGGCGGCGTTCAGTGCTAGGTGCGTCAGTTCTTGGGCCCCACGTCTTTGGGGCTTGCGCTGCGCGTTAGGGCTGCATCTCTTTTGTTAATCGGTCCTTCGGGCAAGTGTTTGGGACCCCCGATTCTCGGGCGGGATTTGGCGCGTTCCTTTCCGCATGTCGAGGACACCACAGACGTCCGTCTTTCAGGGCTGCCATGGAGGACAGAGAGAGAGAGAGAGCCAGAGAGGAGAGAGAGAGAGAGAAACCAAACAAAAACATAAGCAATATTACACATACCGAACAACAACAACCACAGAAGAGAACACGAGGAGGAGGAGGAGGTGCACGATGATGATGATGATGATGATGATGATGATGATGATGATGATGATGATGCTGATGCTGATGCTGATAATGATGATGTTGCTGATGCTGATGCTGATGCTGATGCTGCTGCTGATGATGATGCTGATGATGATGATGATGTTGCTGATGCTGATGCTGATGCTGATGCTGATGATGATGATGATGATGATGATGATGATGATGATGATGATGATGATGATGATGATGATGATGATTATGCTGCTGCTGCTGCTGCTGCTGATGATGATGATGATGATGATGATGATGATGATGCGACTGCTGGTGATAATGATGATGCTGCTGCTGATGATGATGATGATGATGATGATGATGATGATGATGATGATGATGACGATGATGATGATGATGATGATGGTGCTGCTGCTGATGATAATGATGATGAGGAGCAGGAGGAGGAGGAGGAACATGAGCACCAGGAGGAGGATCATGAGCACGAGGAGGAGGTGGAGGGCGGAGGAGGGGGGAATACCCCGTCCTCCCGAGGCCCAACCGGCCTTCCGTTCCCCGGGGCCGGCCAGGTGAGCGCCGCGGGCGCGTTCGACGTCGGGTCCCCCTCGCCGCACGAGATGCCGTGCGCAGCAGCGCCCCCCGCCGAGGCTCGGGGCCTCGTTTTCGCTGTGCTCTTCCTCGTTCCCTCCCTCCTCGCTCTGCTCTCCTTCCTCCTTCTCCATCCTCCTCTTGACTCCTCCCCGTGGTCCCGTGGCCTCCCTCCTCCTGCCCCCCCCACCCCGTCTCGCCCCTCCTCCCCTGTCCTCCACTGCCCACCCCTGCCCTCCTCCTCCTGCCCCCTCCCCCTCCTCCTCCTCCTCCTCACTCCTCCTCCTACTCCGCCTCCTACTCCTCCTCCGCCTACTCCTCCTCCGCCTCCCCCCCTCCTCCCCCTTCTCCCATCATCCCCCTCGTCATCCATCCTCCTCCTCCTCATCCTCATCCTCCTCCTTCTCCTCCTCCCCTCCGTACTCCTCCGCCTCCTCCCCATCCTCCTCCTCCTTCTCCTCCTCCTCCTCCTCCTCTCTCCTGCTTCTCCATCCTCCTCCTCCCCTTCTGCTCCTCCTTACTCTGCCTTTTCATCCGCCTCCTAAGAATAATGACATAAGCATTCCGAAGAACGAATAAAGTACTACGACTACTACTAAGACGAAAACAAGAAGACAAGTCCGAACACGCCTAATTCCTCCTCCTCTACTTGTACTCTCCTCTCCTCACCAAGATAATCCCCCCCCACACTTCCTCCTCCTCCCCTTTTCCTCCTCTCTCCTCCTCCTCCTCCTACTCCTCCTCCTCCGTCCTCCTCCTCCTCCTCCTCCTCTCCCTCCTCCTTCTGCTCCTCCTCTCTCCTTTGCTCCTCCTCGCCTTCTTCTTCCCTCCTCCTCTCCTCTTCCTCCTCCTCCTCCTCCTCCCCCTCCTCCCCCTCCTCCTCCTCCTCCTCTCTCCTCCTCCTCCTCCTCTCTCCTCCTCCTCCTCCTCCTCCTCTCCCTCCTCCTCAACCATCCTCGTCCTCTTCCTCCTCGACAGATCTTGGCCTCCAACGCCTCCACCACCATCTCCATTACCTCCAACTGTCTCCTCCATTCCCATACAACTCAGCATGGGTGCATCTTGTCTCTCCTGGCAACATCCTCTCGCGCTCCCGCCGATCCCGCATGCTGACACCCCGATGCCAAACACAGTGCTTCATGGCGTGCTTTCTTCGACTGTACTTACGCCCGAGACTCGTTCTGCCCTTTGACCAGGGTATCCCGCTGCAGCGTTGCCCGCGCTTCAGGATCGGTACAGTCAACCCGCATAGCAAGGATGGACAATCTTCCCAAGGGTACCCTCGCATCCTTGCCTCCTGGGTCCATCCTTGGCCGCCCTCGTTGGCCGCGGCCTGCCCGCAGAGTGCCGGCATGGCCTCCCAAGACCCTTGCACCCCTCTCGTGCACCCTGATGATACGGGTCGACTGCACACTGCCGCGGACCTCTCGGGATTGCGCTCCCGCTCTCCAGCGCGGGGCCCCACCCCGGGCATCCGAGAGTCCGCTCTCGGCGTTGCCCCCCCCCCCCCTCCCTCCCCTTCGAGTGGGCCCTCGGAGGTTGCGACGCTCTCCCCAGGGCCGGCTTCTCGTCCCGCGCGGTCGTTTGACCGCCCCCCCCCCTCCCCCCCGGAAGCGAACCATCTGCAAAAACCGAGGGCCCCCATCTGTTCGGGGGAGGTAAGGGTCCTGTCCGTCCTACGTCCCGCTGCCGCTCTCGGGCCGTCTTGGGAGCGCCTCCCCTCCTCTGCCCCTGCCCTCTCTGCGCTTTCACAGACGCAGCTGCCGTCCGCGCGCATTCCTGTCACACCCTGTACTGCCGGCCTGACTCTTCTGATCAAGCTTACCGGGTGCAGGCCGCGCCGTTCCCCCTGTGCCCCCACGGTGCCTTCCGTTTTCTCCGCCTGTGGATTGCCTCTTTTTTCTCCTGCATGCCTGCTGGGCGGCTTTCTCCGCAGCGCTGCCGGACTTCAGACTCCACGGCCGACGGTCTCGCGCTTCTGTGGCCTCTCTTGGGGGCATCCTGAGGCAGCAGAAGCCCATCGAAAGCGAAACCGCGGGAATGCCAATCTAGTGGGGGACTAGTGGGTGGTGGTGCGCGTGCGTGCGTGCGTGCGTGGGTGCGTGGTTGTGGTGGTGGTGGTGGTGGTGGTGGTGGTGGTGCTGCTGCTGGTGGTGCTGCTGGTGGTGCTGCTGGTGGTGCTGCTGGTGGTGCTGCTGGTGGTGGTGGTGGTGGTGGTGGTGGTGGTGGTGGTGGTGGTGGTGGTGGGTGGTGTGTGTGTGTGTGTGTGTGTGCTTGTGTGCGCGTGTGCGCGTGTGCGCGTGTGCTGTGGCATGGCACGGGAAATGGCGCCAGCGCTGCAGCGGGAGCACGAGTCGAAACGGGCGGAAGCGCGGAAATGAGGCCAGCGCTGCAGCGGGAGCACGATTCGGAACGAGCGGAAGCACGGAAATGAGGCCAGCGCTGCAGCGGGAGCACGATTCGGAACGAGCGGGGCCCGAAAATGAGGCCGGCGCCTCGGCGAGAGCAGCATTTTGAAAAAAACACAAGCGAAAACCCGTTTCCCGGGAATCCTGCGCGTAGAAAAGCACTACGCGGGGGGGGGGGGTCGGATATCTTCGGGACGCCATCAGGGGAAGTGGGAGAGTATTTTCATATTGTGTAATTGTAGAGGGAGGGAGGGAGGGCGGGAGGAGAGGGAGGGAGGGAGGGAGATTGGAATACCGTTGGTCCCTTCGCCAGAGAGGCCCTTGCCCGCCTGGCGGCCCTGGTGTGCGCGGACGCGCGCGCCCCCCCGGGCGCGCTGCCCGCGTGCCTGCCGGAGGCGCCGCCCGGCCGCGAGCGTCTTTGGCGGCGGCCTTGGGTGGGAGGGCCAGGGAGGCACGCGTCGAGGAGGTGGGGCAGGATGCGGTTGTTCGGACCCGCTCGCAGGCTGCTCTCGCAAGGTCTCGAGGCCCAGAACTTTGGCCTTGATCACCAAAAAGAATTTCGGGCTCCAAGGAAGCACCGAAACCGGAGGGTTTTCACGTTTCGGGCCCCAGGAGGCGATGCTCGTTCGGCACTGCTGCGATACCCTGCTGGGTGCCCGAAACTAGTCTTGCGATGTGGCCCTCAAACACGATTTGGGAGCAGCATCAGGCCCTCCAGTACGACGGGAGCAGCATCAGGCCCAGGATGGTTTCCACCCGCTGCGCCCCGTCGAGTCGTCCCGAGCGGCCGCCAGACGGCCGAGCTGTGGCCCGAGAGCCAGGCTCGTCTCGGCTGCAGGAGTCGGGCAGCGCCAGGGGGGGTCACCACCTCGGGGGCCGCCAGTTCCTCGGGGAAGTCGCGGGAGGATCGAGGATCGACGAGGCTCTGACGTTTCGAGCGTCTCCAGTCTCTGGGAGTCCTGGCGGGTTCTTGGTGCTGCAGGGGTCGGCTCCCTCGAGGCCCCCTTGGCTCATCTCCCCCTCCGTCCCTCCCCTCGAGGAAGAAAAGAAAAGGAGAAAGTAAGCATAATCATGTTGGAGGTCCATGTGGATTTCTTGGGTTGGCGCTGGCCCCCCTCCCCCTGGCGGCGCCTCCGGCGCCGTCCCCCGCGCTCTCCGCGTTCCTGGGAGGGGTGTCCAGCGCCGATCCAAGAAGCTTGCGCAGGCCTCCGACAGGTTCTGATTATGCAGATGATTCCTTTTCTTTCTACATTATTGTTCTTATTGCGATTATTATTATGATTCGTAATATGACGATTACTGTGATTACTCTTGTAAATAATCCTCATATTATTGCTCTTCTTCTTTTTCTTCTTCTGCACTTCTCTCTCTCTACGGTACCCCTCCTTCTTCCCCTCCTATCCAGTCCTCCTCTCTCCTCCCCTCCTTCCCCCTCCCCCTCCTGCTCCTTATTTCACCCCTTCTTGGGTCCAGCTTGTTCGGCCTTTCTGGAGAATCCCCTTTCTGCTTTGTCCAAGCTCAAGTTTAAAGCTGATTCAGTCCCGTGTACTCTCCCCGCGTAGGCGGTCCCATTCCTGCCCCCTCCTCCTCCTCCGCCGCCTCCTCCTTCTCCTCCTCCTCCTCCTCCTCCTCCTCCTCCTCCTCCTCCTCCTCCTCTCCTCCTCCTCCTCCCCCATCCCCTCCCCCCTTCCTCCTCCTCCTCCCTCCTCCTCCTCATCCTCCTCCTCCTCCTCCTCCCTCCTCTCCGCCTCCTCTCCTCCCTTCCCTCCCTCCCTCCCTCCTCCCTCCCTCCCCCCTCCCTCCCTCCCTCCCTCCCCTCCCTCCCTCCCTCCCTCTCCCTCCTCACAGTTCCCTCCTCCCTCCACCCCTGGCCACTCACACCCCCACCCGTCGCCTCGAGGAGCGCGTCAGCTCTGACCTGTGGGTCAACGCCGTGGTCGCGACGGCGCCAGGCCTGAACGCGGAGGGCCTGCGAGAGGCGATGCTGCTCTTCGACCGTGCCGTCGAGAACATCAAGCAGGCAGAGGCGCTGGACAGGACTGGGCCAGTGCCAGGGAGGAGGAGAGGAAGGAGGAGCGAGGAGGAGGAGGAGGAGGCGGAAGAGGAGGAGGAGGAGGAGGAGGAGGAGGAGGAGGAGGAGGAGGAGGAGGCAGGAGGAGGAGTGAGGGAGGGAGGGAGGGAGGAGAGGAGGGAGGGAGGGATGGAGGGAGGTGATGGGAGGGCGGAGGAAGGAAGGCCAGGGAGGGAGGGAGGGAGGGGAGGGAGGGAGGAGGGAGGGAGGGAGGGAGGGGAAGGGAGGGAGGAGGAGGAGGAGGAGAGGAGGGAGGAAGGAGGAGGAGGAGGAGGAGGAGGAGGAGGAGGAGGAGGAGGAGGGGGGAGGGGGGGGGGTCACAGCCGGGGGATCGCCGGCTCCTCCCGGAAAGCGTGTGTTGAGGATCAGAGAGGAACTGGCGTTGGGTGCGGCATGTCCTCCTCTAGGCGGGTTTTGTCAGAAAAATCGGACGTATTCAAAACAGATCCAAAAAAAGTAAAACAAATAGTCGAAACATCGTCCCCAGACTATGTTTTCGTATTTTTGAGCACTCTTCTTGCAGAGGGACATGCTCGACTCAGAACTGGCGGGGCGACTCCGGGAGTCCTCACAGGCTCTGGCTGGGTGTGGCAGCGCGCCCCACGGGGGAAGGCAGGGGGGGCGGGCCTTCTCTGAAGGCTCAGAAGGCCTCCAGCCTTCTGAGAGTCTGTCTGAGCCTTCTCTCGGCGGATGCGAAGTCCATGCGGGGTAAATCCACACGGAGTGCTCGGACTCCGCACGGGCTTACCCCGTCTGGGCCGAGCCTCTCCTCCCAGGAAGCTGCGTCCATGCGGGGTAAGTCCATATGGAGCGCTCGGTCTCCGCACGGGCTTGCTCCGTCTGGGCCGAGCCTCTTCTCACAGGAGGCTGTGTCCACGCGGACTAAATGAGTAAATCCACACGGAGTGCTCGGCCCACGTCTGGGCCGACTACGTCCGGGCTTTTGGCCTCTCCTGCTTCCCCGAGCGAGGCCCCGCCGCCGCCTGAGAAGGCCTGCCCCTCGGCGCGCGGCCCGAGGATGATAGCCAGCACCTGCGCCGCGGGCGGCGTGTTCATGCAGATGCCGCACCTGGCCACCGCCAGGACTGGGCAGCGCCGGAGCCCTCCTCTCCCTCGGGAGCCTCGAGGGCGGAGGGTCGATGCAAGCGGGGGCCCGCCAGGGCGCCAGCCGCTGCGGGGTCCTGCACGGCCAGGGTGCACTGACCCAGGATGGCGCGCAGGATCCTGCAGGCTCCCGCGGAGCCCGACAGGCCCGGGCTTCCATCGACCCAGGTCGGCAGATCCCCGACTCCCTCCCCCATCCTCATCTTTCGCGCCGTCCTCCTCCTTCCAGGCAGCGGTTGATGCGCCCCCTCCTCTTCTCCTTCCTCCCCTCTCGTGGGCGGCCGCGGAGGAGGAAGAGGCCGACGACGGTGACGAGGGCTAGGAGGATGAAGAACACGAAGAGGACGAGGGCGAGGACGAAGCGGAGGAGGATAAAAAAAGGGGTGATGCGGTGGATGACGAGGACGGTCAGCATGAGGAGGCGGCGGAGGACGAGGGGGAGGGGGAGCAGCAGGAAGTAGGAGGCAGAAGAATCGGGCGGCAGGCGCAAGTGCGTCCCGCACGATTCACCAGCCGAGGGCCTGATGTCTTGCAGGGTGCCTGCCTGTCCCTGGGCCGATCTGCATGCCAGTGGAGCAGCGGGCGTGAGTTGGATCTCTCCACCACGGTGCGCACTCTATCTTCCAGGCCTCGGACCAGGCCAGCATCAGCCTGTCACCCTTTCTATCTCCCACTCCTCCCTCCGCCCATGGTAGCGCGTGCACATACATGATTGTGTAGCAACTTGTCGCCCCACGAGCTGCACATCTTGAGCAACTGAACGAAATATAGAACCTGGAAGAGGAAGAACAGGGAGACCAACTGCACCACTTAATTACGGCAAGTTCCAGGATTCTGGGCGAACGCATACAGAAACCGCCCCGCGAGCGTGAAGTCGAGGAAGCCCAAGCTGGGTGAATGGACCTAGAATCCCACCATGAAGGAGAGCGACCACAGATGGGAAAGCGTCCCCCCTGCACCTGGGGCGGCGCTGGTCCGCAACGCCGGCTCCGTTGGCATCGCACGCCAGGACCAGGTTGAGAAGACGACAGCACCGTCTTCCCGTCGTCGCCCAGCTGCGATAAGCTTCGTGGTGTCGTGGAAGCGGCCGGCTCCGTTGGCATCGCACGCCGGGACCAGGTTCAGAAGTTGGCAACACAGCCTTCCCGTCGCCCAGTTGCGATAAGCTTCGTGGTGTCGTGGAAGCGGCCGGCTCCGTTGGCATCGCACGCCAGGGCCAGGTTCAGGAGACGGCAGAACCGGCTTCCCGTCGCCCAGCTGCGATAAGCTTCGTGGTGTCGTGGGAAGCAGGAGTACGGTCAACCCGTATCATACGGTGGGGGCGTTGGTTAAGGAATGTGTCCGGGGGGCTTCAGACCCTGGAGTGTCCCTTATCTGATGACGGCGGCGGTAACATCCACTGCCAATCCGCGATTGGAGTTCCACAGGCTTCCAGACCCTGGCTTCCTTATCCGGTGCTTCCTTAGGCACGCCAGGCGAGGGCGGATGCCGCGGCCGCCCGCGCGCGGGGCTATAGCGCCGTGCAGGATTCGAACTCGGCGCACGGCCCTCGGGCCTCGCAGAGAGAAACTGTCCCCAACCGCAGGGGTGCGCGGCCAGGATGCCGGGGCCTGGATGGGCCGCCTCGAAGCTCGTCGAGGGGGGCGCGGCCAGCGAGAGAGGCCGAGGATGGACAGAGGACGCGAGGGCACCCCTGGGGCGCTGCAGCTGGCTCCTGGCCTCACGTCGGGCACCCTCGGGGCACGCCCGGCGCCCGAGGGACACAGCGAGGGCACCCTTCGGGGCACCCTATCGGGAAGGCTGCCCACATCCTTGCTCTGCGGGTCGGCTGCAGACTCGCGGGTCCAGCCCGCAGTGCCGTCGCTGCCGCCTGGCCAACGGGGGGCGCCGCGTCGGCGGCCACCGCTCACAGCGCCCTGCCTCCGCGCGCCACGCGGCCGCCGCCCAGGGATCGCCACGGGGCACGGGCCGTCGAGCGCCACGGGGGCCAGGCCGTGTTCCTGCGGCGAGAGCCGCTGGGTAAGCTCGGGGAGGGCTGCCCCCCCCCCTCCCCTGAGTCGGGGAAGCGTAAGACTCGAGTTGGCTGGAACTCGGGTTTTTATCGACGCTTTTTGACGAGCCCGCCCTGGGTTTTGGCGGTCCAGTTTTCGCGGGATGTTTGCAGCGGGATGTCGCGCCAAATTTCAGACTGGGCCTCTTCATTTTCATGATGGCATTGTCAGGCCAACCCGAGTCCCTTGTATCCGAGTCTTACGTCTCCCCGACTGAGGCGTCGTAGAAGGCACTTCAAGCTGGTCAGCGAGATGCCAAAGCGTAAGCAATGCAGTTCGTCAAGGAAGGGAGGGAGGAATGGAATACCTACAGCACGGACCAGCACGCCCGCTTCTCGAAGGGCCTGATGTCGTCGCAGCTCATGCGCGGCATGGCTGGGGTGCGCCAGCAGGGTCTCGCAAGGGAAGCTGGGCTTCTCTTGGTGCCTGCAGTGTCAGCCTGCAGCTGGGACGGCCAGCTGGGTCTGCCTGCAGCTGGGCTTCAAGAGGTACTTCGGATGGCACTCCTGGGGTCGCTTGAGGCTCTCGAATCACGCTTCCAGCGATCGAGAGCTGCTTCTCCTGCTCCTCGGAGCGCTGTTCGCCGCGGCAGCGGCCCTGCGGTGTCTATGTCGTCCAAGCACTTGGGGCCCTCCTGGGGCTGTCTTGGGCCGTCGTGGGGGGCGGGCTCCTGGGGCTGTCTTTGGGCTGTCTTCGGGCCTTCTTGGAGGCATCATATGGGCCTTGTGGGGACGATCCTTGGGGCCACTTGGGCCGTCGTGTTCGCTGTCACAACGTAGCGAGCGTGCTGAAAGTGCATGTTTTATCGAGGGTATGGGATGATTTTGGCGACGTCCTGATTTGTTCAGCACTGCGTCCCCAGAAGTCACGACCCTTTCCCTGGGGCCGCCTCGTCATCCTGAGTCGCTTTTCGACGGCCCCGGAGCCCGGCGAGGGCCTCGAGGGGCCGCAACTAGCGAAAAACCTTCGTCTTGATGTTTTCTTTGATTTTTTCTTCGACGCGATCCTGTCTGGGTGGGTATGTTTTTTTTTCGATGGTCCCGGGGCCCGGCGAGGGCCTCGAGAGGCCGACAATAGCGAAAAACCGTCGTCTTGATTTTTATTTGTTTTTGTTCTACGCCGCGATCCTGTCTGTGTGGGTATGTCGTCCAAGCGCAGAGAAGCCTCAAGCAGTGGCGAAGCGTCCTGGCGTGCCGATAGGCCT